GATGAGCTCATTCGTGCCACCATCTTAACTCCTGGATTTCCAGGAATTTTTTTTCCATACTCGTCTGGATTTCCAGATTCTGTTTTGCATATACAGTTTGAATTCCGGGGTATTTTCCCCACCATACAGTGCTGGAAATCCGACCACATCAACAGGGGGGTGCAGATATAAACTGGAATGGCCAATTGCCTAGAATAAATTGCCATCATCAAGTTAGGAATTAAGAAATCTGTACCGGTAATTAATATATCTCATTCATAATCCAATACTGTAATCCTTAAATTTTAACTTTTTATGAAGATATTGTACAATGCATTAAATCGTCAGATTCCGCATAACCCTTGGTTAAATTAAATATTGAACTAGATAGTTTTTTTTTAGATTAAAAGTTAAACTCTTAGGAGGATCTATTTTATTTACAAAATCATGGTTGGAATTAAATTAAAATTTCATTCACTGAACACTAGTAAATCATCTCTTCCAATGTTTCTGTCTGTTTATTGCTTATTGTGGAATGCTCAACAGCCATGTTTGTTCTATTAGAAGCATATATACAGAGGTAAAAATAAGCCACTTTTCAACAATAATTTCCATGTTTGGTTTATACACTGTATGCACTTCTATTGGAGATGCGCGTTAGAGCAAATTCGTGAAATTCATGAACATTCATCTGGCGAAATGAAAGTGGAAAGTGGTTTACAGCAAGAAGGGCTTCCCACATAGACATTAGGTACAGATTGTTGTAGTGTTTAGCATATTTTGATGTTTACCTGAGTTCGGTTATAAATAGAATTAACGCGTTTTACAGACTTAAAGTGATCCAAGCTTAACCTTTTAATACATATTCCTGGTTTACATTATTTTTTTAGCTTTTTAACCTATTGAGAACCTTAATTTATTTTTCTATATTTTTTTCAATAATTTTTTTACTAAATTGATATAATTCTTATTGGCTTGATCAAAATTTGGCAAAAATAATGACAAACTGTTATCAAATTTCCGTTCACAGTCATAGCTATTCTCGTCTATCCATGATTGTTCATTCACTTGATTACTAGGTAAATACTCATTTTTTCATGAAGTTTATTGCCTAACAGAAGTAAAGAATTTCTTTTGTTTTTTATGTCAGATTGCTTAGTCCAGTCTTCAAGAAGTAAACGAAATGTGTTTGCTTAAATCCAATATGGCCACCAAACTTCATGATCAATCAAAAACTTTAAAGCAGTGTGCATACAAAGTTTGAGAAGATGCATCAGTTTTTTCAAACAATCTTACAGAAAAAAGTGAAAAAGGTGGAGGGAAAAAAAGAAGTAAAATCAGAAAGATATCAATGTTGCCTCTTGTTTTGCTTACTGACTTGTTTGGTTCCCAAATAAGGAGACCTTTTTACATGTTTGTCTGCTGTAACATTGCTGTATACACCAGTGATTGAAAATCTTTGTTCATTTTCATACAGAGCTTTAACAGAAAAACTTCCAAAAGTGGGCAGGCTACATTACTCACGCTTTGGTCTGATAATGGGGACAGTATTGATGGAGAAGATTTTAAAGACAGTGAACAGTCGCAACCTGTATCAAACAAGGTTTGTAACATATATTTATTCACATCAGGCCAAATTGGCTTATGTTCGGTCAAAATCTCCAAATTTCCAAATGTGATAACAGATCACATCCTTTTACTTACAGAGAGCTCAGTGGATTAGCTCTTCTTTTGATGACTTTGGTCAAAACTCTGGTGAGAAAAAATCAAGCTTTTCTACTGCCAACAAAGGAGGCAAGAAAAGGCCCAGAGATACGCAGGCCAATAAGTCAACTGTGAAAACGAGTCAGAAGCCACGCAAGATTGAGATTGAAACAGAAATATGGGCTGATGTGCACAAGCCTAAGCTACAGGTAATGTTTTCTTGATGCCGTATTTGTTCTGTTTGTGCATAAATCAGAAATTGCATTTATTATATGGTAAATGATTAAAATTTTAAAGGCGGATCTTGCTGTTCATAAGAAGATGATTCATGATAAATGAGAAAAAAACTGATCAATGAATTGTATTTTAGATTCATTATCAAACCTTTGATCACTAGCTACAGTACACTCCTGCAAGTCATTTGTCATCATTTTTGAATTTCTTAAAAAGGAGATCATCGTCAGAACTGCGTGTTAGGACACAGCCAAGCAAGTACTGTAGAATACTTTATTTTCGCTTGGAATGTATTTTTGCTATTTTCGCTGAAGGGGTGATGCTGTGAAAATAAAATCCAGCGAATATACTTTTGTTCCTATATTTCATATTAAACTCATCAAAAATCAGTGAAAATAAATTCCACACAAAACGCCTGAAAAGCCTTTTCAGCTAAAATTAATTCCAGCGAAAATAAAGTATTCCACAGTACTTTTTAAAAACTTTTCGATTAATGTTTGCTTGTAAATATCTGCATTAAATTTGTACATTCTGCCAGTGAAACAGCAGCCCTGCGGCCCTCAAACATTTTGTCTGTGTGTCTCACGTTTATAAATAAAGTAGTATTTAATTGGCAGAATGTATTGTTCTATTGAAAAAAACTTGGACATGAATATTGACACGTAATTTTCATCGTAATAATGAATGATATATTACGGTCATTCTTGAAATATGCACAGTTTATGCAGTTACATATCATGATTTGGTTATTTACAGTTTCTGTTTTTTACACATTACACATTAAAATTTAAGGTTTAGGAGCTAGAATTTTGTTTCAATTTTTGACTCCCATGTGCGAAGCCCAAAATGGGAGTCTTTGCAGTTAGTGTGTCTGTGTTGTGTGTGTGTGTATGTGTGTATGTACATGTATGTGTATGTGTGTCTGTCGGTTCCACTAATATCTCAAGAACCGTACATCAGTTTTTGATGAAACTTGGTGCATAGATGCTCTGATCCAATGCACAGATTTGATTAGGTTTTGGTAAAATTCCATGCATATTAATTAGCTAATTTGCATGATAATATGCTAATTTTTAGCTGTTCCATGACTGTTCCATTGATATCCAAAGAACCACTCATTGGATTTTGATGAAACTTAGTATATATATGCTCTGAACTTGTCCGCAGATTTGATTAGTTTTTGGTAAAAATCTGTGCATATTAATTACTTAATTTGCATCATAATTAGCTAATTTTTAGCTGTTCAATGACTGTTCCACTGATATCTAAACAACCACTCATTGGATTTTGATGAAACTTGGTACATAGATGCTCTGAACTAATGCTAGGTTTTGATCCGTTTTTGGTAAAAATTACCTATTACTAATTATATAATTTGCATAATGATTAGTGAATTTTCGTTTTTTTCACTGATCAAGTTCTAATCATCACATTTCAATGAAACTAGGTACACAGATGTCATAGGACACTGCACAGATCTGATAGTTTTTAGTGTAATATCAGTGCATATCAATTATCTGATTTGCATAATTAATTAATTTTCAGCTTTTGATGTTTCAAGTAGTAAGCATTACATTTCAATGAAACTTGGTACATAGATACTCAAGGACTATGCAGAGATTAATTTTTTTGGGGAATAAATATATGTGCATATTAATCACCTAATTTGCATAATTAGTTAATTTTCAGCTTTTTCACAGATATCTCAAGTACTAATCATCACATTTCAATGAAACTTGGTACATAGACCTATTAGGATTATCCAAAGACCTGACTAGTTTTATGGTAAATAATTGCGCATATTAATTACCTAATTTGCATAATTAATTAATTTTCAGCTTTCACACTGATTTTTCAAGTACTAATCATCACATTTCAATGAAACTTTGTACATGGATGCTGTAGGACATATTTGTGGGTTAAAATTTGTACATATTAATTACTAATTTGCATAATTAACCACTTTTAAGCTATCACACTGATATCTAAAGTACTAATTATTCCATTTCAATGAAACTTGGTACAAAAATGCTCTAGGGCAATGTACAAACCTGATTAGTTTGGGGTTAAAATCTGTTTATATTAATTCCCTATTTAGCATAATAATTCATAATTGTTTTTGGTTCCAATCACATTTCAATAAAACTTGGTACATAGATGGTTTGTTAAATTGCGCAGCCTCATTAGTTTTACATTCAAATCTGTTCATATTAATTTTCTGATTTGCATTATTAGTTTTCAGCTTTTCCATCACTATCTCAATCAAGTACAAGTAATTTTGAATTATATTTAATGTGTCTCCAATATTCTCACCACATGGGAGTTCTTCCTAAGCTTTCTTTGATTTTCATTTGCTATGTCATCACCATACACAGTTAATTAAAATGCAACACATGACTGTGCATTTGTAAAGTGATAAACTAGGCCTGGCTTGTAGTACTTTATTATCACAAAATAATCTTTGATCTATAGTACATTTTGTATAACCTGGCATAACACATAATTTCTTTGGAAGTTTTATGCATTTACTATTTTGCATGTAAATATACATGTGCATAGAAAATGCATATCAGGCTCTCTAACAAATGTTCCAATGTTATTTATTCCATTTGCCAATAGAAACTTTTATTAGCTCCGCTGTCGACTTTGTCGAGCGGAGCTTATCATATGAGTGATTGTCCGTCGTCCGTGTCAATGTTTTACTTTTTTGACTTCTTCTTGAAAACTACAAGCCTGAATGCTTTGATACTTGGTGTATATGTACCTTGGGTAGACCTCTCTTAGGTTTGTTCATTTCATGTTGATATCTTCAATTCTCTAATTGTGGTGAATATTTTTGTCATTTTTGGTAAAAAGTGATATTTTCGACTTCTTGTTAAAAACCGCAATTGCTTTGATATTACATATATAGGTAGTACATGTGGACCTCTCTCAAATTTGTTCATTTTGTAATGATATCTTTAATTCTCTAATTTTGGTGAATATTTTTGTCATTTTTAGTAAAAAAGTGATATTTTCGACTTCTTGTTAAAAACCGCAAGTGCAATTGCCTTCATATTACATATATAGATACTACATGTAGACCTTTCTCAGATTTGTTCATTTCGTGAGGATATCTTCAATTCTCTAATTTTGGTGAATATTTTTGTCATTTTTGGTAAAAAGTGATATTTTCGTCTTCTTGTTAAAAACTGTAAGTCCGATTGCTTTGATATTACATACATAGGTACTACATGTGGACCTCTCTCAGATTTGTTCATTTTGTGATGATATCTTTAATTCTCTAATTTTGGTGAATATTTTTGTCATTTTTGATAGAAAGTGATATTTTTTTGAAAT